GCTTCATTGATTATCTAGACCCTATGATTCTAAGATTTATATTATGCAAAAGGATTTTCTTTGCTATATATTCAATTCAAATGATTCATTCAAGCACTTAACCCCCACACACACACACACACACTAACCATACTTTGTGAAGAAGAAGAAAAAAAAATTGTTCCAATTTCGTTTACTACTGATTTTCATCATCATCATCTTCTACCCACTTTTTTTTTTCTTTATACCATTGTTTTTATTCTCAGAAACATATATAGAAAAACAAGAGAGATTTCAATCAGACAAATTTTATTATCATCATCATTATCATTAAAAAACGTTACCGTTTTACCCATCATCATCATCATCATCATTGTCATCATTATTATTACCGTTAAATGGAAAATGATCATTTCAAACAATGTGAATGTTTCTAATAATTATTTGAAACAAAAAAAAAACGGTGTCACAGTGGTTGACGATTTTTTTTCCTATATCTCTCTCTCTCTCACTCTTTTATTGCTGACTTGATCTATATATATAATGCCTGTTGATCATCATCATCATCATCAATAAGATATATATTCATTGTTATTCACTTGTTTTACTTATAGCCGGTTTTGTATTACAGTATAGTTGTTTAGGTTAAGTTGAATATATATATATATATTCAACATAATGATGACTATGATGATGGCCGGATTTTTCATTCACGTTTGTTGATCCGTTACAATTTCATGAGAAAAATAACCAAAAAAAAAAAAAAAAAACAGTCAGAAATAAATTGTCAGTGATTAAATATGATTTGATGCATGTCAAAGAATGTGTGGTAAAAAAAAAATTCTGTGACATGTTATATAACTGATAATTTTCATTTTTTTTGCATACCATTATTGTTCAACACTTGATTCATCAATATTTTTTTTTTTTTTTTTTTTGTATTTTGAATTTCGAATACTGGTATTTGGGTGCACAGGATCATTTTTTTTCCAAAACTTTTGTCTTTTAAAATTCTTTTCTTTTTCAATTTTTTGATTATCATAATAGCAAAAACTTCTTTTTTTTTGTTTCATACAAACACATACATATGCTCGAATTTCAATTTCAATTGTAATGAAATGCATATAGATTCATTATACAAGCCATATATATCATCATCATTATTAATATTATCATGACTTGAATTTTTTCTTTTCCAACTCTCATCATCATCATCATCATCATCTTATAATAATTTCAATTTATATGTCTGTCTAGTGGCTAGCCATAGACTGAAACTTTTTTTTTTTTTTTTGATCATTTTGACATATTAAAAACAGTAAAGAAATTGAATTTATATAAAAAAAAGATGGATTCACTTTCGCATAAGTATTTGATTCGTAGATTGATTTGTTCAAATATTTTTTTTTCTCTTACTTTTTTTTTTCTTAATTCATAAGATGATACACAATGATCTGACTGCTGCTGCTGCTACAGAAGGCTACTGGTACTTTGGCTGTCATTTGGAAACATCAAAGCCAATCAATATTGTCTGTTAATATCATTCTATTCTATATTCATCATCTCATGCTGTTATATTTGTATTTTTATCATCCTAAAATAAGATGATAATGTATTTCAGGAACCCTAACAGTGTATTGAAGGAAAAAGTGTTTAGATTTCAATATAATAATTAGTTGTATAAACATCAATGTTTTTTTTTTTTTTTGACATACTGGTCAATGAAGGTCTATCTTTGTTACTTAGTTTTGTGCAAACATTTCTAAACATCATCATCTGGATCTAGATTTCACATTCAGATTGAATTCATCATTCACGGAAGTATAACAGTGTTGGGTGGCATCGTTTGTATATTTTTTTTTTATTTTCTTCTTCTTCATCACATATATTAACCATTCAATAATCGTATTTTATTTTGTTTTGTTTGATAAATTATTGTACTTGTTATTAGGTCAAAGGTAATCTGTTTTTTTTTCCTCTTGAAGACGTGGTCAATCGCTCGATCGATGTGTGATCAATCTTTTTTTTACAACAACATGGTTACAATAATAATGATGATGATGATGATGATCATTGAAATAATAATTGTGTTCAAAGAAAAGTTTGTAAGGAATGAAGGAAAAAAAATTATTCCAAATTATGTGAAAAGAAAATGAATTTTTTTTTTGCCAAAGTAATACAAAGATGGTTCCTCAATACGAATTTTCGAATGATTTTGAACTGACTGAATGGATGGTTAATGATGAAAGAAGAAAAAAAAATCGATCATCATCATCATCATCATCGTAAAGGCATCAATCGTAATGATTTTTTTTTCTCATTGGATTCAATGATAATTTCATTCATGGTTTGAACGATTTATTTTTTTGTTGTTGTTGTTGTTGTTGTTGTTTATCCTCCTATTATTGCATCCATTGTTGTTGTTATTGTTAGTGTTCATTTTGGAACACAATCAAACAAATAATAAAGCAAAATAAAGCAAAAAAGATTTTTGACTTTAATCAAATCGAATCGGATCAATAAAAAAGAAAAGGAGCAAAATCCGAAAACAATACGAATCAATGATTTTCATTTTTTTTTCACAATTCATTCAACATAATCAGATATTTGTCAAATGATTTTGTTTGTTTATTTATATTTTTTTTCACCAAATTTTTCAATCAGTTTTTAACCTATTTTTCACCATTGTTTGATTTTTATTACGATTATATATCGATTATTATTACCAGTCCACAATGTTTAAATGATTTTTTTCCGTTTATTCAACAAGTACAAATGATTATATTTGTTGAAACATTGATACACCATACACGTGTCCAAATATACATGATGTTGATGATGAAGATAATAAGATATCAGGCACCGGATCATGCTATTTTTGGTGGTTATTCATTTATCCCTCGAAGGATTGTTTTTTTTTAATCATATATCCATTCATTCAATCAATCAATCAATCAATAATGTCAGTAGCGCCATAATTTTTGTTTTTGGTTAAAAAAAATTGATCATTAAACAATCTGTTGATGACAAATAATAATGGCTAATAATAAAATGGTTAATCAATCTGTCAATCAATCAATCAATCAATCAATTGATCGATCAGAAGAAAAAAAAGACTACAAATTTTTTCTTGTTAATTCCGTGACCAATTATTATTATTATTTTTTTTCGGCTTTTTTTCTTTTTATTCTGTCGACTACATCTGTGTGTGTATGTGTAATGTTTATGTTGATATCAATTACTTGCGGATGATGATGATGATGATTTAATTGATTTTGGTATGATTTGTATGTGTATGTCTGTGTATTTGTTGGTATAAATATCGTGTTGGACATGGATCAATTTTTTGTTTTTCATCCTGTTTACATTCGTATTCATATGAATCCAAGCAATTAAGTGATATTAAATAATATATTTATATGGAACGAAAAACAAAACAAAATAAAAAACAAAAACAACAACAACAAATAAGCAACAATAATAATAATCATGATAATCGTTGTGTTTGTAAACGGTAATTATTATTTATATGTGAAATCAATCAAATTTTATGATCTACATCTACAGATTATTTGGATATTAATTTTGAATTTTCTTTTTTTTTTTTTTTTGGTTTTGTTTTTGTCATCTTTCAAAATATTTTAAACAACAACAACAACAATTGGAAGCAAGGATTTTAGATATTGAATGATGATGATGATGATATCCAATATATTTTAGTGAATATGAAATGACATTAGTGAAATTAGATTTGTGTGTGTGTTTGTAATTGATTTGACAAGAAAAAAAACTTGTTCAAGAATTTGTCAAATTATGATCGTTATACATATACATATACAAGAAACATGCACATCAAATAATTTTAAGGCAAATAATAATCATCATCATCATCATCAGTCAAGTAATAATAATTGCGTGTATGTATGAGTGTGTGAATGTTTGCAGGTGAAATATTTTTCATATGTGATCCAAAACCGAATAAATTAATTGAATTCCGGATAATACATACATACATAATAATACGATGTAATATATAATTATATAATATTTTTGATGACAATGGAAACGAAACGAAACGAAAAAAAAAAATGAATCAATAAAGAATTTTCGAATGATGACAAATATATTATGTTTGATTCGAGAAGACAAAAAAAAATTTATTTGAAGCAAACGAGAACAATTCACCATGATGATGATGATCAGTATAATAATTTCATGTATTGTAGATGGGGTTTGAGTTTTCTTTTTTTCTTCTTCTTCTTCGTTTCTGGTAAATACTGGTGGCCAAATATGTTTTTTTTTCATTCCTTTTCGATGAAACAAAAACACAACAACAGTAGGAAACAAAAAAGTTCAATGAAATATAGGTGTGTGTGTGTGTGTCTGTTTGTGTTGACGTGAAATATTCAAATTTATTTCCTGGATTTTCTTTGTTGTTGTTGTTGTTGGTTGTACGTTTATGTATTTGTTATGTTTGTGTGTGTGTATGTCAGCTAGGTTGCCAAATTCATGTATGTATTTTTTTTTTATTTCATTTAAATTCGATTCTCGAAATAAAATAGATATACAATACACACACACACATACAGCTGTGTTCCAAATGATTCACATATGTATTGTTGTTGTTGTTGTTGTTCAGTGAAACTTTTTCTCTCTCCCTATTTCCTCCCCCGGTTTCAAATTTGAACAGAAAAAAAATTAGTTTTCATCTAATTTTCTATTATTCTATAAACATATATATATTTACAGGCAAATTGAACGGGTTGCTCTCATTAAATTAACAATAGAATAATTTAATTTTTTGTTTGGAATAAAAAAGAAGAAGAAGAAGAAGAACAGGATACATTTGTTTTTTTTTATAAAGATGAAGATTTTTTTTGAATTGAACAAATTATTATTACCCGTTATTCATTTTATTATTCATTTTATTATTGTTGTTATTATTGTTGTTATTGTTGTTGTTTTTGTTGTTGTTGTTGTTGTTATGATTGCATTTGTATGAATGAATGAATATTTTTGAACATATTTGGCTACACATTTTATTTCATATCTTCATCATGATGATGATCATCGTCATCATCATCGTGAGATATTTCACCATTAGTAACGACAATCATTCCATTCATTTGTGTTGTTGTTGTTGTTGTTGTACAATCGACATCAATCGATGATTGTGAAGCAGTTGTGGTTGTTACCGGATCTTGATTTGAGCTTGTTGCCGAACTACGTCGTCTTTCTAATTCAAGCATTGAATCATCGATTGCTTGTTGTGTGATAGTTTCAGATATTTCATGTGCCGCTATAGCCATTGATACACAAACACTAGATTGTTGTTGTTGTTGATCATTTTTTTGATCCATGTCTTCACCACCGGTATTACTTCGTCGATGATCTATGTTTATTTGGTCGGCATAATTTTCATTTTCAGATGGCAATAATGATGATGACGATTCAGTGCCGATAGCAGGTCTAGATTCAATTTCAGGTGTAGGTTGTATAATAACTACTGCTTGAGGTGCCATTAACTGCATTGGTTTTGGTGGCGGTGCGAAGCTAGGAGGTTGTACTGATCCCGTTATTGTTTCTGTTGGTGGTGGTGGTGGCGGCGGCGGCGGTAGCGGTGGTAATGCTGATAGTGTTGTTTCATCTTCATCATCGTCACCATCACAACTCTCCATTTGAGGCGGTGGTGGTAATGGTTGTTGTTGTTGTTGCATTCCATTAGATTCGTTGTCTGTTGGTGTTCCATTTTTATTACAGGAATCTACTAGAGATGATCCATTTTGATCATAGACCACAGAAGACGGTATGGGTGGTGGTAAATCGATCGATGGTGGTGGCAACGGTACTTGACGACCAAAACCATTTGGACCATTATCGTCATCATCATCATCATCATCATCATTATCATCATCATTTTCATCATCATCATCTTCACTTTCTTCTAATTCACTGACTAGCATGGATGGAAAATGACCAACATGGCCATCGGTAGTTTGACCTGTCCACCAACCATCATCCGAATCTTGATCAATAATTTTAATTAGATCACCAGATTTAAAAGAAATTTCTTCACTATTAGTAGCGATATAATCATACAATGCTCGAACATAAGTAATATCATGTTGTTCATTATCATCATCATCATTATTTATGGTTTGTTCATTTGATTGTTCCATTTGTTTATTATCATTTTGTGAAATTGTTAATGAAGCTTGTTGAATATTGATTTCTGATTGTTGTTGTTGTTGTGCTAATGATGATATTGTATTAGATGGTGGTTCATCAATGGTCCATTGATTATTGGCTGGAGTAATCGGATATTGTTGTTCATCATTATTTTCATTGTACGTTGATATATCATTTGGCATTGTGGCTTGTATATCGGACGTTGCTGTATCATAATGTTCATTCATAGACACTTCTTGTAGATATGATGCCGGAACATAACCGTATTGACCTGTTTTTTTTAATATTCAATTTGAATAGAATACAGTAGGGAATAATAATAATTATATTAATGTTTTTTTTCTTATTTTTCTTGTTTTAAAGTAAAAAAAAAGACAAGATAAAAAAGAATTCTATATCCAGACAAATCATAATTTAGCAAATTAGACCTTAATGACTAACCGTCTTTATTTTGTGCCTGGACCCAATCTTTATCGGCTGCATTCACAACATTAAGAATCTCCTGTTCAATAATGGTGAGCTCATCATCATTTTGGGCAGTATAACTGTATAGAACAAAACATTGTTTGCCAATCAATGCAAATCCGTCGGCCATTGGTTGATCTTGTTGTTGTTGTTGATTGAAATCATCATAGAAATTTTCCTGAGTATTATGTTGCTGATAACTATCATTATCCATTCGATCATCATTTAAATCCGTCGATTGTTGTCGATATTCATCGGCTGTTTGTTGTTGTTGTTGTTGTCCATCTTCATTAATTCCATTATAGGCATTACTTACGGTAGTAGTAGCAGCGGTTGGTACAGATGGTTCATTATCCCAGGCTTGTGTTGGATCATAATCACCCCAAGATGTTTGATTAGCTGCTGAATATGCTGCAGATGTGGGTGCAGGTGATGTACTTTCAATACTAGTGCCCATCTGTAAAAGTTCTCTATCAGGCGAATCCAATTGTTCAATCGATGATGATGATTCAGGTCGTACCGTTTGATGTCCACCGGTGGAAACATTTTCAGATTCACTTTTTGAACTACTACAAAGAAAAAGGTGAAAAAAAATCAATGAATCAATTTTTTTTCATTTGAATAATCTCATTACATACAGTTTAGCTTCCAATTCACTATGTGAACGCATCGATGGTGTACGACTCAATGAAGTTAGATTCAAATTATCCACTTCCAACGATTGTTGTTTGATTTCGGTTGCAACTTGAGCTTCGAATGCGATAAAATCTTCAACTTCAGCGCCGCTTTCTTTAATTGCTTGTAAACGAGCCTTTGCTTTCAATTTACTTATCTCACATTTACGTAGCTGTTGACGGATTTCATCAATACGATTCTCGATATCTACCTGTCCACTTCCAGGTAGATCGACAGTCTTATCATTATTGAAATGTGATCAATTATTAGATATTGTAATAGGGGATTGAATGGTGTGATTCGATTTGAAAAATGAGGAAAAATTTTTATTATTATTATTATTATTAAAGATTGATAAATAAATAAATAAATAAATTACCTTATGACCTTCCGATAACAATGCTTGTAATTTAACTAATTGAGCTGATAAACGATTTAGATTGCGACATTCTTTAGAAAACCAAGTGAACCATTTTTGACCTTCATTACGTAATGCAATATCAGCATTATGATCCAATGAAATTGTATCGATCGGATCATTATCACATGCCTGAAATTCATATGATAATATTTCCCTTTTTTTTATATATTGGAAATAAATTAATTAATTTATTAATTACTTCAACAATTATTTTATTATTCATTTAAATTAAGAAAATAGCAAACAATAATAATAATAATAACTTACGTCAATGATGTTGAATTTGGATCGCGTAAAAATATTGAATTTGTATAATCAGCTGATGTATGATCAACTAGATCGGTGGCCTTTTCATTAACATCATACCATGATTGAGCGGAATCTTTTTCCACTTTTAATAAATTTAACATATAACCACGACATTTATCCAATACATAATCATCGATGGTCAACATAAGATTGATTAAATCTTGATTATAATAATGATCAAAATGTGCATTGCCAGCTGCTAATGCCATTATATAATCATTTCGTGCCTATTTTTTTCGTCGTCGTCGTCGTCGTTTGTTATTGTTATGCATCAAAGCGATGGGAAACAAAAATTAAAATATTGAACAATTTTGATAATTATTGATTAGTAATTATATTACCTGAGTTGATTGTATATCGCTTGCTTCACGATGTGCTGATGTACGTTCTTTTTTATTTTGTAGATTTGTAAATGATGCAAATATGCCTGTTTTACGTTTTTTAATTCTTTTATTTTATTATTATTATCATCATTATGTATGTAGTATTGACATAGAAATTGATGAAAAAGAATAAAAATGTTAAATAATAATGAAATAAAAATCCATCATCTAGTCTAGATATTGTGAAAAATGTATTTTTACAATTTTTTTTTTTTTGGATCAACTTACTTTTCTTCTTTATCTCGTGCTTGTTTGGCCAAATGTTCTTCTTCAAAATATAATTTTCTTGTTTTATCAATCTCGTTGACTGAATTGACAATTTCTTCGTGCATTTTTCTGTGTGTGTGTCCGGTTTTTTTTGGAAATTATTGTCCATTATTATCATTTATTGTTATCATAATGATTGTCACAATGTGTTGTTAATGATTGTTAACAAATGGAAAAATGTTTTATAACCCATATAAATGGCCAGTTTGAATGAGATTTCAATGAAAACAAAAATGACATTTAAATCCCGTTTAATGCTTCAGATACTTACTTGAGATAATTGTCCAAACATTTTTTGGCCACCTGAATCTTATGTGAACGTAATGTTTTCAATGTTTCACATACTGTTGCCAATTGTTCAAATTGTGATTGACGATTTTTGGCATGTTTCTCTGTTTCTTCTTGATATATTCTCCATGAACTGTATAATGTTCTATAGTAGTGACAATTTGATTATTTGAAAAAAAAATTATTAAAAAAATATCAAAATTTTTTTTTTTGAAAATCAAATCAATTACTTGATATCAGAATTATCATCTTCATTTGAAACAAATGTTAAAAATGTTGATGAACGTTTTGAATAGCTTGTATTCAATTTGGCCAACGATTGTGCATAATCACGTTCTAAAGCGCAACGATTTTTTAGATAATTACGCAAATCATCCAATAGATCAATATCTGTTGTATGTTTCAATGAAAGACGTGTCGATTGTTCAGATAATAATGATTTAGCTGCTGAAACTAATGCACCTGGTTTTGTTGAATATTGTTGATGATGAGATGGTGATGATGATTGTGGTGGTGGTGCTGGTGCTGGTGGTGGTGGTGGTGTTGGTGATGGTGATGGTGATGATGATATTACACTCATTTTAATTTCTATTTTTTCTATACTAAAGAAAAAAAACAATTTGATTCAAACAAAGTGAAAATGATCAAAATGACCGGGCAAATTAAAAAAAAAAAATAGGAAACCAATTATATACAATCAGAACCAGAACCAGAACACACTCACACACACACAAAAAAAACTAAATAATATTGTTGTAAAGAATTTTCGAAATGAAAATTTAATAATGCTGATGATGATAAACACTTACAAATTCTATTATTTTCAAGGTGGATGTTTTCTTTTCTTTTTACGATTCAAGATTTGTTTTCTTTTTGCACTTGTTTTTTCGATTTTTCTCTTGTCGTATAAGCTGTGTATTACGAATTAGAAAAAAAATATGTTCATTATTTCTGTTTCGGTATATGCGTGTGTGTGTGTGTGTGTGATGAGGAATCGTTGATTTGAACCAGAATTTTCTTCTAAAGGCCACAGTGTAATATACATATGAACACATATACATATATGAAAGGGAAGTAGTCGGAAAAATTTCTCGTGTTGTATGTCGATTCCAATGTGAAATTTTTTTTTTCTATTATACATACAACCCAATGAGAGATGAAAAAAAAATGTTCCATAAAATTCGGATCACAAACACTGTTTTTGTTGTTGTTGTTGTTGTTGATTTGATTTGCAAGTAGTGTAGGAGTGGTAGGAAATTCTACCATTGTGTCAAAGATTCATATTATGGCCCATTCATTTTGATTCTTTCTTTGTGTGTTTGGTGTCGCTTTAGAATTATATTCTTTTATTTTCGATACTATATTATTATATATTGTAAATAGCAAAGAATTGCTTCCGTTGTCCGGGAACTATTGAATCGGATCTTGATGTTCCACCTTGAAGATTGGTCCGTTGTTATATTATTTATATATATAGCTCTCTTTGTCCTATTGCAAATGAATAGAAAAAAAAGGAAGAAACGTCACAACATACAGGGAACATACATTAAAAGTCCAAACACACACGCACACAACTATATATATAAGTTATAAACTGATGAGAAAAAGATAGCAAAAAAAAAAAGAAGAAAAGCATTCTTTAAAGATCTTGAAAACCAGAAAACACACACAAACACACAATTATATATATATAAAATGGTCCGATGTGATGTTTGGCTTTCGGTGGAAAAAAATGTTCTCTAGAAAGACCAGATCCTATTTTCATCGGTATCAAATGGAGCAGAATCTATTATTCACAATTTTCGATTCATACTAATCGAAACAGAAAAGAATTTTTTTTTTTTTTTTTGAACAATACAAAAAAAGAGGTTATTGTTTGTACACATATTTTAATGTAGAGAATTTTTTTTTTGAGAATCAATATATTCTTCACACACAAACACACACACACATCCACAACGGTGGGCAAAGATGTATTGATTGATTTTAAAAACCAATTGTTATTTACAATTACAATCATAGTGAATGATTAATTTGAAAAAAACGCCCATTAAAATGTTTAAAAAAAACAATGTTTTCTCCATTTCATTTATGAGTTGACATATTAACATTTCAACATTTTTTTAGCCCAGTCTATATTTATATATATAGAATCAGATTATCCAATTTTAATGAATGACGACAAAAAAAACTTGACATTTAAATTGGTTTGCCAAGCTTTTGCATTGGCTAATTTTATTTGTTCAATTTACAATTTGAAAACAAAATTGAAGAATATTTTCCATTCATCAATTCTTTAATTCTATTATTTATTTTTACATTCAATTCATTTCTCATCGATCATTTAGGTTTTTGTATTAAGGTTTTTTGTTTGTTTGCCACCTACGGTCGAAATTTCGATTTAAATCGAACGAATCCAAGTGTTTGGTTTTGTTTGGTGAATTTTTTTGTTTTCATTTCATTGGTTCCCATTCTTGAAACACACACACACACACACACAAACACACACAATTATTGAAAAGCAAACAAACTATCTCTATGGCACTTAGGATTTATATATTCCTCCAAATTTCTTATCCATGAGAAAATGGAATAATAATAAAAAACAACAACAACAACAAATTCAAATTCATAGTACTTTCTATCTTATTTAAATTGAATTCACATGTAAAAGTGATAACCAGAATGCCTAGTTTTTGGCTATATATAATACATGAAATGGTTATGGTTATAATTTCTTGTTCAGTTTTTTTTTTAAAAATATCTGAATCTGAAAATTATATAGTAACCGTATTCATAGATTATCATCATATGAATGTGGAGCCCGGTTTTTTCCATTCTGTTATCGCTGGTATATTCAATTTCGTGTATCATTCGAATAATTTTTGATAAATCGAAACTAAATTGATTCATTTTACAATCTCATTCTATATTTATTCAATATTAAATGGTCAATATTTGATTTATAAACAATGATGATAATTCCAGGTCCAATCTATTCAAAATCACATAACATATTCTATGAACAGTACATGTTCGAGTGTAAATCCAGCTGATGTGTTTGGCTTTTATAAAGCTCACATCATCTTTCGTTTTTGATGTGTGTGTTTGTGTGTTGGTAAATGTCGTTGTTGTTGTTGTTGTTATTAAATATTTTTTTTATTGTTTTTTTTCTCTCAATTTGATCCATCAACTAATTTGGATCTTGGAAATTCATCAGGTTTCAATCAGCTAATCATCAACAACCACATTTATACCGGTGTTTTGATTTTTATAACGGAAAAAATTCAAAATGTTTCAGTAATGTGTTTTAATGCCCACAAAACCATCATCGCCACTAATAATTGGAAATTCTCATTAAAGTGATTTTTAAAATCATTTCTGATTATATTCAACAAAAATTTCTAAAATGCTTAGACCAACAAAATGGTTCGGCTGGTCTCGATCCAGTTCCGAATCGTCTTTAGTTCGATCCAATGGCAATCCACATTCATTGGAACAATTAAAGTGAGTGTTATAATAGAAATCAAATATCAAATTATAAATAATGTAAATCAAATTTCATTTATATAGATTATTATATCGTTTATTGGAAAAAAATCAAACGGTCAGTGAATCAAATCGTACATTATTGGTTGAAACATTGAGACAAATTGCTGAAATTCTAATCTGGGGTGATCAAAATGATTCTAGTGTCTTTGAGTAAGTTATATTTGAGTTTTAAAAATAAAATTAAATACTATTTTAAATCCTTTTATCCATTATTCATTATTATAGTTTTTTTCTCGAAAAAAATATGCTCTATTTTTTCTTGAATATCATGAAACAAAAATGTGGTGGCTATGTTTGTACACAATTATTACAAACATTGAATATTCTATTTGAAAACATCAAGAATGAAACATCACTTTATTATTTATTATCAAACAATCACGTTAATTCAATTATTATACATAAATTTGATTTTAGTGATGAAGAAGTTATGGCCTATTACATATCATTTTTGAAAACATTATCGCTTAAATTGAATACACATACAATACATTTTTTCTTCAATGAACATACAGCCGATTTTCCTCTTTATACTGAGGCGATTAAATTTTTTAATCATTCAGAAAAAATGGTACGAATTGCAGTTCGTACGTTGACATTGAATGTATTTCGTGTACAGGAAAAAGCGATGCTTCGTTTCATACGTGATTGTACGGCAGCACCATATTTTTCTAATCTATCCTGGTTCATTGGTAATCATATTCTAGATTTAAATAGCTCTTTGGCAACATATATTGAATCAAGAAATCAATCATCATCATCATCATCGAACATTCAAGGTTCATTGCCACATAGTAATAGTTCTTCTAATCTAATTAATCGTCTAGAAGATTTGGTCGCCGAACATCTTGATCATCTTCATTATTTAAACGATATTCTACTCTTAGATATTGATGATCTTAATAATGTACTTTCAGATAATCTATTGTATCGCCTTATAATTCCATTGTATATGCATTCATTTTTACGTATTGATTCGAAATTTAAATCAGAAACATCAAATTCCAAAGAAATTAATGTCATTCTATCGCCATCAATTGCAATATTTCTATTAACACAGGTGTTCTTAATCATTTCATATGGTGCTTTACTCAAAACATTGTTATTGGCATTGATTTCAAACAAACAAGACATTGAAACTATTGCACAAAAATGTGAATTTACTCAGCCCATCACTTCGTTAGAAGCAGCCATTGAACAAGCCATACAGACAACATCGAATCAAAATTCTTCCGATTCTAGTGAAATGTTAGATTCAAGTCCATCACATTCGATAAATAATAATGATAATAATGAACAGTTAGCAGAAGAAACGGTTAATAATTTTGACCCAAATCATTCAACAAGTGATGAAAATAAATCAAAAATTGAATCATGTCCAGCAATAAATTGGCAGGATTGTTCATTTCTGATTACATTGTTAGCATCTTTGAATGCCAAAATCATTCCTAACTCTGAATCATCCATGGATAATAATAATAGGAACAGTAATAGTAGTAGCAGTAGCAGCAAAAATTCTGAAAGAAATAACCTCAGTAAATCTTGTCATTCATCACAAATCATTCGATTCATACCCGATTGGACAAGTTCGGACGATAGAATTGTTTTATTTTCACTTTCTTTAATTTCGTCAATTGTTTCAAATAAAGCTATTGATAGTGAGACATATGAGAATATTTTTTTGTCATCATTGAATGATGATACATCTTTGCCGCCAACAAATTCGTTTCATCATACATTGATTAACAGCCTTTTATTAATCATGCGTCAATGTAGCTCATCAAGTAAGTTATCATATTATTATAACAAAATTAATTTGATTCATTTTCAAAATTAATTTTACCATAGACTCATCCATACGTTTGGTAACTTTTGAGCTTGCTGTTCATTTATTCCGAAAACTTGCCTGTTGTCCACTATCATCGAATGTTGTGAATCCACCTGAAGAATCCCAAGCGACTTCACGTCCTCATGGTCATGTGATATTGTCTGATCATCAAATAGCAGTGTTAGAACAGGCTCGTGAAGATGCTTGCCATATATTAAGACACTATTATTGCTCAATAGATGAATCAATATTTTTAAATCTTTTTGAAAAAGAAGCTAGAATGTTTCATTCTCATTCTTGTTCAACACGTACCTCAATATCATCGTCCACATCGGCCTCTCCATCCAAACATTCTGCATCAGACCGTTCCAATCAGATTTGGTCATATGATTCATATCTAACATTGGAACAATTGTTCATGGATGCTACGTTATTGTTGCCCCCAAATGAAATAAACAAAGATGATTCAAATTTTCATCTACGTCTGCCAGGAATCGATTGTGAAAAAGCTCGTTATGTAAGTGATTTTTTTTTATTTCGAATTATGGATTTAATATATTATTCACATTCATTTTTGTTAAAGATAATTCAAGTATTTTTCGTTTTACGTCTTCTTTCATTTGATGTTCGTAAATCAATGGGTGATACAAGCACCGATGATAAAGCTCAAGATTTTTCCATACTATTAGACGATACTATTACTTCACCTTCGGTTTATTTAGATCAATTTATTGATCTTGGTGAGTCAAATTGTTTAAATTTAACATTTATTGATAATTTTTTTTTCAAATTCAAGAAAATTGTGATCTAAATCGGTGTTCAGTAACATTTTATCAGTTGGTGAATAATCAGCATCGACAATATTCAGGTGATGCCCGTGATCGTTATTCACAATCAGCACCAGCATCAAGATCTGAAAGTCCATCTCTGATGCAAAACTCCAATACAAGTGGTCGTCGAATGCAACGGTTCATGACCATCATGAACGATCTTATTATTCTTATTGAACCGGATGATAAACGATATGGTTGGGGTGTCATTCGATTTATCGCTAGATTACAGGATATTGAAAAAATTGTTATGCATTCAAAAGAGCTTGGTCATCTACAAACATCACCACCATTACCGGAAAAAGATAATAACAAATCATTGTATATTTATTTTGATTCATATCGATTATCATCTTCAATAGCATTAGATAACAAAATGACTATTACAAGAATTGGATATCGTAATCGTCAACAAAGTATTGTGGCTAGATTTCAATTCAACGATACTGTTCGTAGTTTAGTTGCACGTAATAATCTTTGTAAAGCGCATAAAAAAGTATTGGATCGTAAAATAATAGCTGTGGCTAATCTTATTGATGTTCCAACAAGTGGTCAAACAACAGTATCTCAATCAATTATACGTACCGGATCATCATCGAAATCCTCTCTGGATAGTAATAAAAAAGCTACAAATCAAAATCATCATAATCATCCAATTTTAACGCGAACCTATGCAGTTCCAGGTGTTGCTGTTCCATCGAAATTTCCTGTTGGCCAATCTTCAGATTCTTCATCGAATGATAATAACACTAATAAATTGGATATGTTAAACAAAAAACGTTATGCCTATTCACCGGCTGTATCAAATAATAAAACAAATAAATCGATTTCTTCTAATCGACAACAACAAACATCGGCTAAAATATCGATTGAAAATGAAAGACGTCTTAAGAAGAAATTAAAATATCCCGCCAATCATTTAGATAATGATCATGATCAAGAACAATATGGTATACCATTGAATGATCTTAGTCCAAAAACATTGCGAAAGAATACATCGTCAACAATAACAGCGGTATCGGCTGCCGCATCTGTTACATTAGCAGCCGAATGGCAAGAAAATTCTAATAATTCCCATCTATTCAATGATACTCATATTGAAGAAGGTATCAATCCATTGGATAATAATAATCATGATGTAGTTGATGCCATATCATTGGATAATCTTAATGTAACCAGAATGATTAACAATGATATAAATGAAACAATAATTACTGCTAATAATAATAATAATAATAATAACAATAAAAATAACAGATCTTCACCGCCATCATCATCATCATCATCATCATCATCATTATCATCATTGAGACGACAACAGAATCGTACATCTGAAACATTTGATGTATAAACAATTATATTCATTCGTGGGTGTATGCATGTGCATGTGCATGATTTATGTATACAAACAGAAAAAAATTATTATCAAATTTTATCCTTTTGTGATATCATTATAATATTTGTATTTGTATTATTATTATTGAATATGTATGGAATTTTTATTTATTTATTTATATTTTTTTTTGTTTGTTTATTTGTTTGTTTGTTTGTTTTGGTCACTAAGCTCTATTATTATTATTATTATTATTATTATAATGATGAAAATTATCAACGGTGAATTAATCATTAATTAATATCAATATAAATTACTCCCACGCATACACACACACACACACACACACACATATTTATAGTTTTAATTTTTGTTATTATTTTTGAGAAAAAAAAATTATGAATAAATCAACCAATTTTAATTAATGGAATTGACAATTTGTTAACCAAAAAATAAAATAAAATAAACAAAAAAAGAAGACAAGTATATAAATTGTTTTTTTCATAATCAATTAGCGGAATGTTAATAATAATAATATGAATCCAGTGAATTGTGATTGATTAATAAAAAAAAAATTGGAATTTATAGACGATTGAATGTACCAAATTTAATTCCACTAGCATTAGCACCTTTATTTGTACCATATTGTAGATTAATAATTGTTTCACCTTGTTTCAATTGTTCTTCAGTGAAATTTCTTTTATTTTCTTCAGCTTCTTTTGGTCCAAATCCTTTTAATCCGAATTTATTTGCTTTACGTGCCAATGATGACAAACAAATCTGTACAGAATGAAGATTAACACGTTCCCAAAGATCAACCGTTTGGAATGTTTCTTCTCTGTTGACGCCCAATACATCTAATGCTTTCAAAAAGGAATTAATATTATCCATACATTTGAATGGCAATGATGTTTCCTGGAATTTTTTCACTATTCCTGGTTTCATAGTATTAGCCAATCTATGATAAACGGAACCAATTGGATTTAGATAAAAATAAAATTGATGATTAAAATGACAAATAAAAAACGTTTTACTTACTTGCAGAGTACGACACCATTTTTCAATACTGCATGGAAATTATCTTCACTACCATCAGTATCAATATTGACACCTTCAACAATATCATTAATCCATGCCAATATTTGTTTCGACAAATCCGGATCATATTTTGATTGCACCTGTTCAAGTGTATGACACACATATTTTTTAGTTGTAACATATATCAATATAGTGTATAGTTTTTTTTTGCAATCAATTGATCAAAAAAAAGGTATAGGCATTTTTTGTTTTGTTTTGTTTTGTTTATCAATATAGTCATATCACTATTTTTGATCTATTGAAATTCTTTTTTTTTTTTTTTTGATTGAAATCCATAATAATATCGGTAGCAATATCATCAAACTAGCATTTCTATTCACAACAACAACAACAACAATCTGACAGCAAATAATTTCATTTGACCTTGATTGATATCGTTATATTCCGATATACATATTCACAACAACAACAACAACAACAAAAAAATTATACTGACACATTTTAATAATAATAATAATAATAAAATGATGATAATATTTAAACATTTCAAATGTTGTTGGCCACCGTGGCTATGATGGCCGATCATTTGGTGATGGAAATATAATGAAACCGGAAAAATGAACAAAAAAAAATTAATGTAAATGAGTGTATAAATGAGAAAAAACTGACAGATGGATTTTGGCCAATATATTGAATAGGAATATATATCTTATATATATATTATTATCGTTCTCATTTATTTGTACCATTTATTCGTTGATGATATCTATCAAATTTTTTTTTTAAATCAAAGATTCCTGATTTCATCATTTAGCTCATGTTTCCAATGAAAATAACAAGTTTTATCAAAAAAAAAAAAAAAGAAATTCATACATCACTCACTAACCAGATGAACATAAATAATTTATTCATCATATTTTTGATGATGATTAACATCAAAACAGACTAGAATGATCAATCAATATTTCTGAAGATTTCTTCTTGTCTATTACTCGTCTTGTAATGTGATTTTCACAGTTTTTTTGGTCATAATGATTAAAGTCATATCATCTTTAAAGACATGATTTTATTGTTAATGTATTTTCACATACAGATTGCATTTATTCGAGTATCTTAAATAAACTGATGATGAAAACAATCAATTCTTCAAATAATCATTAAAAACAGCCTCCGAACAATGGTCAATAATCAATCGTTGAACATCCGGCAAGCATTCGCCTAATGATTAAAAAAAATGATGTTCATTGATATTGAATGAACATCATATACACAACGACAACAATGATCATATAATAACATCGTTGTTTCGATGGACACACACACACTCAATGACAATGGCCTTCAAAACATTTGTGTGATTTGTGAAAACAAAAAAAAAAAAAAAAAAAATTTTTTCTCAACATTCAATTCAAGTTCTCAACATTGATGGTTGAATAGAATAGATAGGTGAAAAAAAAAAATAATAATGATTGAAATGGTCAATGAATGATTCATCATTTTATCATCGGAATAAATTTCAAGCCTTACCTTTGCATGGGTTTCAGCAGCAATACCGGATTTTTCAGCACGATTTTCCATACTCACAGTTTAATTGATTGATTGATTCTAAAGCTTCTATAACTAAAATAGAAATTATCGTACACCAGATATATATATATTAGCAGGAAAAAAAATTGAAAATGAAAAACCAGTTGAATTCGACGACAGTATAAACGATGTTCAAATAAAATTTTTGCAACTTTTTTATGATGATGATGATGATCGTGTCTTTATCAAATCAAGCAAACATTGAAAGTGACAGTGAAATGAAAAAAAATCGGTTTTCCGTTCAAAAAAAAAAAAAAACCAACCGACGATCACCACCACCACCACCACAACAATCAACGAACAATCATGAATTTGAGACTATCCAGCTAAGCTATGCATCATCATCATTTACAACAACCACGACCACCACCACCAAAATTATCATCCATTATTACCATCTTATCACATTGGACGCTGTATACCAACAAGTGTATACAAGTGTACAAAAAAAAAAAATGTTCAATAAAATTGTTGATGTAGTGGCACTAAAAATTTACTGGCAACAATGGCTTTGGTTAGATTTTTTTTTCTTCAATCAATATTATACCATTACAATGGCTATAATGTAGCCAATATAGAAATCATTATTATGATGATTATGATCATGATCATGATGTTTAGCTTGATGATAATAACGGTCAATAAATATGTGCTATTCTAAGAGTCTGCGCATTCATCAATACATTTGAATCTTTCCAATTTACGCCCAAAATATATGCAACAACAAAAAAACATGGATTGATTGATCATCAATAAAAACAAAAAATGGCCTCAATAACCATCTGATGACACAAGATGGCAACCGATGTCTCAATTTATTTTATGTTATCAATTTTTTTGGCATTTATTTGGCGTTCTATATTTGTAATTTGTATCCAAATTCATTTATCAAATTTCATTGTTTGACAAATATATTATATTTATGATATTAATGTTATTAGTAATAATAATAAAATCGTAATCAATATATCCGTGATTGTTGAGTGTAATGTTGTGATTTGTGTGTGTTGGGTACAAAAAAAATGAAGAAGAATAAGAAGAAGAAGAAATCCAAAGATTTTGGCAATTATTCCATTGTTGTTTTCATTTTTCTTAAGAATGACATTTTTTTTGTTCCTGTTTCTCTTTTTCTCCATTACACAATGAATGATATTGCCAAAACAAAATATCCATCTACTTCTAGTGATGATGGTTATAAAAAAAAGAAGAATAATGATCATATAATCATTGATTATTGTTGTCTACAAGAATATACTATTCATAAATGATGCAAGAGATTTTTTTTTCGTTTTGTTTAAATAGGTAATATTTGATTCGTGTGTTGATTATTGTTATGTGGCATAATCATTCATATATATGATTAGATGATAATAAAATGCATAAATCATCATGATGATAATCTAGAAAAACAAAATGATAATGATGAATATGATGATAATATCAGATCAGAATTATGTATTATATTTAAATTAAAGTTATCATATAGATTTGAATCATGGATTTGATCTATGTTTGTATGATTGATCGATTGACTGATTGATTAATTCATTTATCGATCAATTGATTGATTGATTGATTGATTGATTGATTGATTGATTGATTGTATACTGTGTGTGTGTGTGTGTGTGTGTGTATATTTGTATTTTGCAAATACAATATGTACGAATATATTATTCATGAATTAGCGATAAAAATGGAATATTCCAAACAATGAAAAAAAAAATGAATTCATTTGTGCATGACAAAGAAAAATGAACATTTTTGATAATAATATGATGGTGATGATAAAATGAATTCTGATGATGATGATGATGATGTAATTTGATGTGATGGATGGATGAATGAACACACTTTTGGGAATTTTATTTTTATTTTTTTTGGTATTTGAAATCATTTTTCGTCATCTAAGTTTCGTTTGTCAAATGAAAATCAATAGATTTTTTTTCTCCACTTTCCAATCATTTTGATTTGTTCACTATTTGCAATAGCATAATTTTGATTATTCCAATTCAATATTACTTATGATATTGTTCATTTTATCTTGATAATGAATCGTATCATTATTATTTTTTCTTTTCATTGTTCACTGGTGCCATGATGATGATGATAATTTAGATGATTAGATGCCATTCGATTATATGTGTTGTTAATGATGATGATGATGATGATGATGATAATACAATGGTTGTGCACAAAATTGTGCGTTTGTGCGTGTACGATTTTTTTTTGTTTTGTTACGTATACGTATTTTATTTAGATCCGTTTATATTATTTTGGATCTCATTTGTGTATTTGTGTGTGTTTGTGTGTGTGTGTTGAACATTGCATTAACTTCTTTTTTTTTGGTGTAATGTATCTATACAGAAAAAAAATTATATCCCTTTTTATATATTATATTTGAATTCAGAATCTGATAATAATGATAATGATGAATGAATGAATTGATGCGCACGGCCGCACAACTTCACAATACAAATTTTCCAAAATTTCGTACATAAAACTATGTATGTATGTGTGTGTGTGTGTATGTTTGCAATTTACAATTTTTGTTTTTCTTTCAATGATATCGATGATTTTCAATGATGATGAGAGCGTGTTATGATGGCCATACAGACTAATATAACGAGATATGAGAATGAGATAATGATGAGGATGTGTATGATGATGATGATGATGATCGACTTGTGATTATATCAAGATAAAATAATGGCTATGATGATAATGATCATCATTTGCATGTATACAAATCAATAGTTCGTGTACACGTTTTACATTCAACATAACAGCACCAATGAAATTTGCAATTACAGCGTTCTTTTACCGTTACTTTTTGCGTATTGTAGCTGGATTTTTTTTCACATAGAAAAAAAAAGAAAATGAAAAAGAAAAGAATTAAATTAATGAACAATTTCACATGAAAAAAAAGTGAACGTATATAATCATCATTTAAAATGGATTCATGCAGAATAATTGCCATCATATAACAACAGTAGTGGAGGCAAGAAAACATTAAGAATTAAATATGAAAAAATGGTACATGGTTTACTTGTGTGATTAATGATTGGGATTAGTAATTGTTGTATGATATAATAATATAATGATGATAATATTATGTTACACTTACCCTCGTCCACAACACATTAGATTACATCCATCGGTTCCTTTGGATGTACGATTACAATAACGTCCTTGTGTACCATATGCACCCGTTTTATTATTATGATCGCAATAATCAGGAGAATCATCAATATATAAAAGATCTTCGGCCGTTGGCCTTGTAAAACTAGGATGACGGACCTGTAATTTTGATCGTTTATTTAATCGTACTTCGGTTGCACCATCATATTTGTCTTTTAAAAAATCGCCAACTTCACGAAAGCTTAATAATTGTTGCCAACAGGTTACTACAGAACAGGAACCACTTACACCATGACATTTGCATGTTGCTCTCGTTTTACGTATAACAGCCTTTTTACAATAAACCAGTTGGTTGTTGCGAGATAGATTTTTTTTTGGTTTCATTTTATATTCATAAATTCACAATTCGAAAATCAATGGGATCAATTTTTTGTTTTGATTAAGAGAAGTAAGAGAAAAAAATTTAAAAAAAACAAATTTTTTTCGATTACGATTGACAGCCACATAATAAATATTGATTGATTAAATGATAAAACTTACCCTTCTTCCTGCTTCATTATTATGTAAATTCATTAATTTTCTTGCCAATTCTCTTGAACCTTTAGGTAGATTTTTTTCCTTTTCACGAACATCGATAAAACTTTTAGAAAAACGATAACCATAATCAAGATTATCGCCACATCCACCCCAGATCCATTCTTGATTTAATGATTTAGGTCTTGCTGATCGGCCACAGCTACAATGTGATAATTGTCCATCACGACATGCACGTGCAATAGCATATACAACACCAGCAGCTGAAATAGCATGTGCAAATGCTGATTCTCGACTGGCTAATAATTTATGATCACCGACACCATCATAATATTAACATTATTATCATTTAAAAGATTTTTTTTTTTTTGGATAAACAACATTTTTTCATGATTAAAATGTTCGGTTAGTGATCACAGGAGAAAGAGATTAAGAGAAAGAAAGAAAAAAAAATAAAATAAAATGTAGAAAAAAGTGATTTTCGAGTAAAAAAAAAAATTCGTAATTAGATCGCAATTTAGTAGCAATTTTTGTTTTTCGTTCTTGTTTGTTCATTCGTTACACACACACACACACACACAAACATACCACTGATCAAGATTTGAAAAATGGATTGCACATCAATCTAGTTTGAATAATTGAATCGACTAGACTTGATCAGGTAGACGGTTGCTTGATAACTTGAAAAATAAACTCAATCAAAAGGAATTGAATCGAATCGAATCATCAATCGAATGAGAATTATCAGGGTGAAAAGTGAAAAATTTATTTTTTTTTTGCTGGGCGCTCAGCAAAAAAAAAAAATGAAGACTAAACAAAATTGTATGCATTTTATTAATGATGATGATTAAGATTGCTTAGATAATAATGTCATGAAACTTTCAATTCAATCTTCAATATATCGGTCATTGTATCACTTTCACCCTGGTTGGTTGGTTGTTGTTGTTACAAAATTTTTCTTTTTCTTTTCCTATTTCTTATTTCATGAGTTTTATGATGTTTTTTTTTTGATTCTATATTTGGACATGATATGTTAATTGTCGTCGTCTCTACCTATACCTTTTTTTTTCAGATTAAGAAAAATTGATAAAATAAATAAATAAATTACGTAATACATTGTCAAGCTCGATGTGTGTGTGTGTGTGTGTGTGTGTGTATGTCTGTAAAACTGTCAATTTGTTTCCTGTATTTGTTAATTGGTCTATGTGTCGTGTGTTTCTAAAATGTATATTTAAAAATATATATTTTATTGGATTGAATGAAGAAGAAGAAGAAGAAGACGAAAAAAAATGGATCATCAAAATATTTTTTGTTACAACAACAAAAAATTTTATGGTTTTTTTTACATTTTATTTTATTTATTTATTTTTTTTTGAAAAATAAAATTTCAAATTTAAATTTAGCATCCACTTACCAATATTTAGTACATGTCCAAACACTGAACTATCATCCACTGTTGAACAATTCCATCGTTGATTTTTAAATTGATATTGACATTCATTGATGCCTAAACGTGCACCACGACCAATATGTGGTATATGATCTTGATAAAGATTACATAATTGTGT